ATTTCTACTTTATTCGATAGAAAATGACACTCTGAATAGAATGACATATCATATGTCAACTTTTGACATTTTCGCATATGGTTTAATTGTAATTGTAACACGCGGTTCATAACGACAATTTGACTCGAAATACCAAGTGTGTGGTATCAATATATTCATAAAAAAATGCTTTTGCGAAATATGCTAATGAGTCACCCTTGTTCCATTTGAAAAAATTGACATATGTATGATTAAAAATACGATTTGTACATCTTTTAACCGGCCTAGACAAGACACGAAACCCATTAGACGATCAAAACTATTTTTCCAAGGCTCCTTGATTAAAACTTAGTGTTTTTAACAACACCATGGCACCCTGGATTGAAATTTAAAATACGATTTGTTTTAAGCGACAATGTCAAAAGTTGACATATGATATGTCATTCTATTCAGAGTGTCATTTTTTATCGAATAAAGTAGCAATATACCGAGGGTGCCTTTAAAAATCAAAAGATGTAATCATTTCGGTGAAACAGGAAGAGACCAAAAACAATTGAATACGTCAATAAATCCTAATTTATGTCATATACCTACTAACGTACAAATCTGTTTATCTGAAAAAATAAAAAAGGTATAGGGGGTGAGCCACTTTTGAGACGACCCGGTATATTAAAAAATATTGTTTCATAATGTAATATCATTTTAAAATTCTTGTATGTTATTTTAGATTCTGAAGATAATTTTAGAATAAACTGGAATATATTTAAAAAAACATTATTAATTATTAACAGGGTTATAATTATGATTTTGTTACAATGTAAGTAAGTAAATAATGTAATGTAAGAGAAAAAATTCAGATTTTACATTTTACTAAAATATTATCTAAATAAGCGCCTTTCTACAACAACGCCACTGACTCCCAATGGGTAGGTAAATTGAGAGTTGCCTACCAGTCGGAAGTCGTTTCAAGACTTAAATGGATTATTTAAGTCAAATTTCTTGCAAATTTGGCACTGGCAAACCATATTTTATAGTTCTTCAACAGAAAAAGTCAATAAAATAAACACTTAAGGACTACAAGCTAAGAAAATGCGTTAATACAGCCGGGGACACAGCAGCAACAAAGCTTTACCGCACACGTGCGACGCGTACTACAAGGTAATAAATCAATGAATAGGCTCCCTCGCCTCTAATCGGTGTTGTCATATTGTAAAGAACTTATCCTTTTTAAACAGTATCCGACTTATAATTTAGTAGTATAAGGACTATTTAATACATCTATGGAATATTAAAACCTACTTTATTAAACTGTAGTATTAATATCTCAATATATGTGTATAACAAGAAAAAAAATATTGATAATATTAAAGACATGACAACATAGGCTGGATGAGGAAGGCTCGGTCGACTGTACCCAGAAGTAAACATGTGTACAAAAAAGATTGTTTGACCGCGTTGAGATGTAAATAGTGTAGTCTATATTTTATTTTAAGTCTATGGGTGTATCTTAATGAGGCCCAAGGCCTCCGAGTGAGGAATCAATCATAATCCCAGCAACCCAACCTAACCTACAGGGGTGTGATAAATAAAAAATGGACCAAAAATATTTTTCAAAATTTTAATAGACAAGATTACTTTTTCACATTTTTAATGAGAAATGTCAGATTGATTGACAGTACAACCAGGTCACTTTCTTATTTTTAAACAAGTAGAAACTGACTGTGTTGCCTAATTTTCCCTTATAATATTAAAAATTACATTTCATATAGACCAGTAAATACAGGGTCACTGTTATGGTTATGTATGGAAACGATCGATTATTAGGTAAAATATAGGAGGTACCGCAAAAAGTTAAGTATAAAAGTTATAGGGTTTATAAATATCTATCAGCGGGTAATAAATTAAGTATACAGGGTCGGTCATAAAGTCGTGGCACATCAATGTTTCGTTTTTTTTAATGGAACCCCCTGTATATTATTGCATATTTCGGTTCTTCCTTCGGTTCTAAGCAAAAATCGAAATTTGACATTAGTTCTCAAGGTAGCATTTATAGATGTATAAAATGAGTATATAAAAACGGAAAAAAAGAAATTACAAAATTTTCGTTTAACATTTCAATTCTTATTCAATTATTTATGTACATTGTGTATTACGTTTATTGCTTAAAATTGAAGGAAGAATTGAAATATGCAATAATTATACAGGGGGTTTCGTTTAAAAAAGAAAAGTTTGATGTGACACAACTTTATGACCGACCCTGTGTACTTAAATTTACTAGTAGCTAATAGGAATTTAAAAACCCATTACAACAGTATCACAGTTTCGGCAGAATGGCATTATTAAATCAAACCAAACACATCGAAATGAATTAAATCGAATTGTTTAAGTGATATTGTCAAAAGTCAATAACTCGGAAACGGTTGGTTTGAAGTACACTGTGTGTATTTTGATTTTTGCTTAGAATTGAAGGAAATATTGAAATATGTAAAAATATACAGGGGGTTCTATTTAAAAAATGAATCTTTGATGTGCCACGACTTTATGAACGACCCTGTATACTTAATTTTTTGTATATTTTAATTGTTTGCGGTACCTCCTATATTTTACCTAAAAATCGACCGTTTCCATTCATAAAAGCGACCCCTGTATACATATTTAAAAAAAATTAAGTATTTCAAATTTCGAACTAAAACATTCTCTCTACGTCCTATCACTGCCGTTCTTTAAAAGATCAGCCTAGGGGCGGACTTTTGTTTACTTCATCAGCTGTACATACTTAGATATTGGGTTAGATTCCGTTTCATATTTTGTCGGTTGATTTTTGGTTTTAACGAAGTTTAGTCTAAGGTTTTAACTCTATGATTTTTGGTATTATTTATTATTGTAGTGCAAAAAACTAATTATTTTGGTGTTTAAGTGACATAAACTACTACCAGATATATGGTCACTCTCGGTTTCGCATAAAAAAATAGAAAAATTGAAAAATTACACGTTGTGTAAGTGATTTAACCTAAAAGTGCCCATATATTTTTTACTCATCGTGATTTTTGTGTGTGTTTTTTAAGATTCTAACAATTCATCAATAAAGATTAAGTGGAGTGTGTTTTTGGTGCTATACCTCATCTTTGTTGTGTTCCTGGTGGAAAGGATAGTTATACTAGGCAGCCTAAAGTGTCCAGAAGAGCAAGAAAAGTGGGTACGAGTTATAAATCAAGAGAATTCTATTGAAAATATCTTTAATAAATTTAAAAATAATATTCTCCCATGACGGTATTAATGAAAACTGGACAATTATGTTTATTTTATTCATATTGTGGAATCTCCACTCCAAGTGTTGTTGGTTCAGCTTCGATAGATTCAAACACGTAAGTAGGTATTATGATCTAGGGAAAAATAAAGAATATGTGTATTAAAGATCATGAAAAAGATTATTATTTTGAGTTCAAATTTTAAAAAAGATTTTTGTAAAGACAAGACTGATAGGGTTTAAAAGAAGAATGTGTTTTTGTTTGATAATATATAATGTATGTCAAGCATAACATATATTTGTTCAGTAATTTTTAATGAATAGGGTTGATTATTTATAATACCAAATTAATATCAAATATTTAAGTGATGGCTGAATACAATATGAATAAAATAACAATAAAATTGGTATATTTGCATAATACAAAATTAAGTTTTAAGAATAAAGGTGTTACTAAAAATACTAAGAAATTCATATTTCTTTGTTATAATTCGTCTAAAGTTATTTACATTTTACGTAAGAATTATACCGTATCATCGAAAAAAATCGGCGTCTAGTTGGCTTGGAAATGAACATCGATGACATTCCCTAAATAACTGTACACATAAAATAATCAACTAGAATTTTACAATCTTGGAAAATTTGATATTCTTGAACCTTGTTTCTAAATATTCTAAATTTTCTGATTTTCTTGGGATTTAGGTTCGGGAAAAACGCTGATTAAATTTTCATTTGGTTTTTCATTATTTTTATTTGGTTTAAAAAAAACGTTTCGGCTAACATTATAGCCTTCATCAGTGTTGTGTCATATGAAAAAAATAGTGTTGAATATAATCCAAAAAATTACATATAAAATATTCACACCACACACATAATGTTTACTGCGCACTCCATAGTCAATGTAGATAATTTTAGTGTTAAGAATAATAATTTTAAAAAATATGTGGTCATCTTTTGATAAGTTTATATTAGTTTATTAATTGCAGTAAACATTATGAGGTGTGAATTATATTGTATATGTAATTTTTTGGATTATATTCGACACTATTTTCTCATATGACACAACACTGATGAAGGCTATAGTTAGCCGAAACGTTTTTTTAAACCAAATAAAAATAATGAAAACCCAAATGAAAACTTAAATCATCGTTTTTCCCGAACCTAAAAATCCCAAGAAAATCAAAAATTTTAGAATAATTTTACATATAAAATGCCAGCGATCTTCATTTCATAGCCATCGCTGGCGCCTTTTTTTAGATAATATTGTATTATTTGTATATAATTTTTCGAACATTGATACTTGCAAAATATACATATAAATTTTGTAAATGCAAATAATAATACATCACTATTAGTAGATATTGAATGTTTTTTGTTAAATTAAATCGATTTTCAAACCCCAAAATTTAAAATATATTTACATTTTACCCATTATCTTATGTACCTATACATTATTTGTACATTGTAAAACATTTGCTGCATTTGTATGGTTCATAGTTTATTTGCCAAAGTATTTATTACTATAAATAGGTATATATGTTGTAGTTATTAACTGTAAATTATGTATATTTCATGTAAACTATATCATTTTTAAAATACAAACCAAAAATCTGAGGAATGATTATGTTTTCCATGTATTCTACAACATATTTATTAATCCGTTATATCTAAGTAGCGTGACGTCATAAATCTCGCCCGCGGGCTGATCTTTTAATAGAAGGCGCTGGTCCTATTATGTCATTTTTTCATTTCATAACAATTTATGCAATATATTTTAGGCACTAGATACAGCTTTGCTCATATACTCTTCGATATTCTCGTATATTCCGTGTACACCGCTTATATGTCTTTTCATATTTCCTGTTCTTGTTGACTTAAAATTACAATTCTGAATTTGGCAGGTCCACACTCGTTTGTCACCACAGTCGTACTTCATGTGAACGTATAAACTCGACCATTTTGTGTATGTTCTGCGACAAACGTCACATGAATAGACTAAAACAAAACACAAACTTCATTAAATTTTATATAAAGTAAAATAAATCAACAGGAATACACAAATTTAAAGGTAAAGGGACTAATACATACCTTATAGTCCCCACAGACTCTTAGTACAAACCCAGCACATAGCCCTTAGTACAGCTATCGACACGAAAGTGAATTAAAAAATATTGACTCAAAACTGACAACTAAAGAGACAGCTTTATTTATTTGTCAAATTACATAGAAACCAACGCCAACCCAGCACAATATTTTTTCTACTCGTAATAAATTCCTTGAAATAATAATTTCTGAATATTTTTTAAAACGTAACTCGCTATGAAAAAAAAATATTGTTTTATACACGACGATAAAATACCAGTTTATCGTCTTGTATAAAAAATAACTGAATTTTTGTGACTTTTGAAAACATGTTTTTTTAATTTTCAGACTTAATTAACTCGGTTATTTTGGACTTATTTGAAAAACGGTAAAGAGAAAATATGTTTCTTTTATCAAGATCTACCAGCCCTGAAAATATTTGCACTAATTTTAAGACTCTCACCCTGTAGAGTTGTAGAGTTAATAAAAATACAATCTCAGAAGTAAACATAAATATATTTCAAACTTTGGGTTATTTTTGGTTTGTCACAATACAATAATTTTCCAAGTTTAGCCCAAAAATATTGTGGATCAACAGATGCCTCTTCATACTGCTTCTTCTGGATACCGTTTTGCCACAATCTGTAAACGAGCACTTCAACTGGGGTAGATTTCCACAATCATACTTTTTGTGAACGTAGAATCTCTTGTGAATGAGATTCTCTTGTAGTAAACTTTAGAACAAGTTTCGCAGATGTAAACCTGGTTGTTAAACGAGGAAGCTAAAATTTCAATAACTTCAGATATTGCCGCCAAGTTAAAAAATAAATAAACATTGTTTTAAACAGAATCCATTGAACCACAATTAAGTACCTTTATTTAAATAAAAAAATGTCACATTTTGAATAACGAAAAAACATTCGAAATCTAGTTTTGATTTTCATGCTGTATATACCATGCAGTATACCGAAATTTAGTATAATTATATTTAATACAATATTATTAAGTTATTTCTAATTAAAAAACATAAAACATTTGTTATTTTAAAATTCGGGAAGAGATTTAAATATGCAGAAAACTTTAGGTTTTATTTTAGGAAACATTCGGTTTAAATAATGACATGATGGTGTATCTGTAATAGGAGCTTTGTGATAAATTTACTGAATGAAACAAAATACCCACATATTCTAGTGTAAAAGTTGTACTTTTAAACTTTGTACAGGGTGTTCCATTTTTACGTTTTTTACAAGGTTACTCGTTTATGAGAGAGTTACCAAGATGCGGTTTTCACTTTACTGTACTACTTTTATATATAACTATATATGTTACACACAGATTTGTCCTAACCCTCTTAGTTCCGAAAATACAGGGCTAATTTGAAATTTGTTACATTTTTTAACCTCCCCTCGTATCTTGGTTATCTTAAAGGTAAAATGTGAGTCCCGTAGAGTTCTTCACGTAGAATCCAGTGGCATAAGTTTTTTTTTGCTGTGTACTGTCATTTTCGAAATATGACTCGAAATTCATAAGCTTTCTAAAAATATAATAAATATACTCTATACTTTTTTCATAAATGCATAATGTAAAAAACGCAAAATTATTTATATTTTTGATGCACTCGTGCGATGTACTCGTGTAATTCTGCACACAGAAACTAGCTTGGAATAGCCAATAACCAAAATTTGACGTCAAATAAGTGATTGCATTGTTTTGATTACTTAATTTAAATGCGTTTGTTAAAAAGTTTTTTTTATCTTTTTTTATGAAGATATGTATGAGTATATCATATTTTTGGAAAGCTCATAACAAGGCAAATAAAATAAAAAATAATATACAGGGTATCTTATCTAAAAAAAACATAAGTTTGGGTCATATTTCAAAAATGACGAAAATGATGATGAAATTTCACCGTTTCGATAGGTTATAAGATAACTGAGATACGAAAGGGGTCAAAAAATACAAAAAATTTATATTCACCCTGTATATCAGCAACTAAGAAGTCTAGGACAAATCTGCGTGTAGAATATTTAGTTTCATAAAAAAGTTGTATAGTAATGTGAAAACCGCATCTTTGTATCTCTACTCATAACTACAAAAAACTGCATAAAACATACAAAAATGACACGCTGTATATCATAAAATGTATAGTACTCTAATAACTCACGTGATTACCTGTTTTACAAAAACCATATCAATCTTTTGAACTGTTCCTATTCGTTCCTATCATGCATTCCTTATATTCCAGGATGTTATGCTTACTGACCAGGTGTCTTTTAACATCGTGCTTCCTGTTGGCACTATACTGACAATCGAACTGACAATAGAACTGCTTCTGTTTGACACCGCAATCGTACCTCTGGTGTATATAAAGCGAATTTTTTCTGGCGTACCTGTTTCCACAAGTGTCACACGCAAACGGTCCTAGAATTTTTTAAATTTATTCAAGAATTAAAGATAATACAGCATAATAATAAAAAAAATTGGCGCCGGGAGGCACGTACAGCCGCCCATAGTAAAATATGTTAATAAAAAGTTGGTAGGCAGTTCTTTTAGTTTCAAAGTAAAGGAATTTTTCCAATTTTTTTTATCTCAAAAACTGCGACTTTGACTGATTTTGATGTTATTACAAATTTTGTTGCAAATATTATTCCTAATCTTAAATTGAAAACCGCGTTTCGCTAGCTACCGTAATTTTGGATTTACGATTTTCTAAAATTTTTAACCCCCTCCCATACCCCCTTACCAACCCCCCACCCCCACCAAAAGCTAATGGCCAGATTCTCGGATGCCACAGTATTTTTTTGCCGAATTTGGTTAAACCAAAAAAATTTTGGTTTTTAAATTTAACTTATTAGCCGACCATACCTGTTGGTAAAAACCCGCTAATAGTCAAGAAACGACAGGTATAAAAGAAACGCTAAAAACAAAAAAAAACTAAAGATGAAAAAATAGTGCTAAAAATAATTTTGATATTTTTTTTCTGTTTTTAGCGGTATTATACATGTTTTTTTCATGTTTACTAGCGGTTTTTAGGTACTTCTTTTTTAATGTTTTACGTCAACGTCAACACTGATGGTGAATCGATCGTCCCCTTCTACAGATGGCGCTCACGTATGACAGATTTGACACCTAACATATAAGAATGACGTTTGACATATGCCATGCAGTGTGCTTTCAAAGAAAGTGTGGCCTTCAGGTACAAAAATACGGGTACGTGAACCTCATTTCAAAATGCACTGTATACATAAAAAATAAAGAAAATAGGAGGTTAGTCGTGACTAAGTTAAGAAAAAACTCTATTTAAAAAAAATTGTTTTTTGTTTAAAGAAAAGTAATGCCGTTGGATATGTATTTTAATATTTTATAAAGGAAATGTCCTTGTATTCCAATGTCATATGATGCTAGTTTTAAGGCCTTTTTGTGCAGATGATGTTTTTTCGTTACTTCGAGTCCTCGTAAAGTAACTGTTACTTTGTAACGACTACTTAGAATTCTTACATCACTAGTTAAAATTGCCTTATATCTATCAAAAATAGTCGATAAAATAGTACTTTAACCTCAAGGGTAGTTTAAATGATACTTTAACAGCGAGGATAGGTTAAAAACTATATTCTGCAATCGTTTTTTAATTGCTTCCATTTTTGAAAATTTTTGTATTCCTTTTCATAAGTTATTCGGGATTTAAATGGAAGTAGTTTGGATATGGCGTTTGTCGCCTCAGCCTGAATACCTGTTGATAATTTACTTATTTTGTTTTGAGCCATTTCTGGCTCCAATTCAATCAGCAATCGACACGAAAGAGAATTAAAAAATACTGACTCAAAACTGACAACTAAAGAGACAGCTTTATTTATTTTTCAAATTACATAGAAACCAACGCCAACCCAGCACAATATTTTTTCTACTCCTAATAAATTCCTTGAAACAATAATTTCTGAATATTTTTTTAAAACATAACTCGCTATGAAAAAAAAATATTGTTTTATACACGACGATAAAATTGCATTATCGTCTCCCGAAATTCTTTTCGTTCGTCAAGGCGATAAAATACCATTTTATCGCCTTGTATAAAAAATAACTGAATTTTTGTGACTTTTGAAAACATGTTTTTTTAATTTTCAGATTTAATTAACTCGGTTATTTTGGACTTATTTGAAAATCGGCAAAGAGAAAATATGCTTCTTTTATCAAGATCTACCAGCTCTGAAAATATTTGTACTTATTTAAGACTCTCACCCTGTAAAGTTATAGAGTTAATAAAAATACAGTCTCAGAACTAAACATAAATATATTCAAACTTTGGGTTATTTTTGGTGTGTCACAATACAATAATTTTCCCAGTTTGGCCCAAAAATATTGTGGATCAACAGATGCCTCTTCATACTGCTTCTTCTGGATACCGTTTTGCCACAATCTGCAAATGAGCACTTCAACTGGGGCAGATTTCCACAATCGTACTTTTTGTGAATGTAGTATGAAATTCTCTTGTAGTAAACTTTAGAACAAGTTTCGCAGGTGTAAACCTGGTTGTCAAACGAGGAAGCTAAAATTTCAATAACTTCAGATATTGCCAAATAAAGAAATAAATAAACATTGTTTTAAACAGTGACAATTTTGAATAATGGAAAGACATTCAAAATCTAGTTTTGATTTTCATGCTGTATATACCATGCAGTATACCGAAATTTAGTACAATTAGATTTAATACAATATTATTAAATTATTTCTAATTAAAAAATATAAAATATTTGTTATTTTAAAATTCTGGAAGAGATTTAAATACGCAGAAAATTTTAGGTTTTATTTTAAGAAACATTCGGTATAAATAATGACATGTTAAGATGTATCTGAAATAGGAGCATTGATTGTGATAAATTTACTGAATGAAACAAAATACCTACAAACTCTAGTGAAAAAAGTTGTACTTTTAAATTTTGTACAGGGTGTCCCATTTTTGTGTGTTTTACAGGGTTTCTCGTTTATGAGAGAGTTACAAAGATGCGGTTTTCACATTACTGTGCTACTTTTTTTATAAAACTATAGATGTTACACATATATTTGTCCTAGCCCTCTTAGTTCCTAAAATACAGGGCTAATTTGAAACTTGTTACATTTTTTAACCTCCACTCGTATCTTGGTTATCTTAAAGGTAAAATGTGAGTCCCGTAGAGTTTTTCACGTAGAATCCAGTGGTGTAACTGTTTTTTTGCTGTGTACTGTCATTTTCGAAATATGACTCGAAATTTATAAGCTTTCTAAAAATATAATAAATATACTCTATACTTTTTTCATAAATGCATAATGTAAAAAACGCAAAATTATTTATATTTTTGATGCACTCGTGCGATGTACTCGTGTAATTCTGCACACAGAAACTAGCTTGGAATAGCCAATAACCAAAATTTGACGTCAGTGATTGCATTGTTTTGATTACTTAATTTAAATGCGTTTGTTAAAAAGTTTTTTTTTATCTTTTTTTATGAAGATATATATAGAGTATATCATATTTTTGGAAAGCTCATAACAAAGCAAATAAAATAAAAAATTATATACAGGGTATCCTATCTAAAAAAAACATAAGTTTGGGTGATATTTCAAAAATGACGAAAATCATGATGAAATTTCACTTTTTCGATAGGTTATAAGATAACTAAGATACGAAAGGGGTCAAAAAATGCAACAATTTCATATTGATCCTGTATATCAGCAACTAAGAAGGCCAGGAAAAATCTGCGTGTAGCATATTTTTTCGTTTCATAAAAAAGTTGTATAGTAATGTGAAAACCGCATACATATATTTTATTTTGTTGTTTTACATATTTAAGATGTTTTAAAAATTTATACAGGGTGTTCCATAAAATATGACCATTGAGTAATCATGATTCTGCTTAAACTGCTTGACGTTTAAAGCTGATTTTTGGCAAACGGATTGACTGTGGGGTGTACTTCTCTATTCTGTACTTCTCGAATCTCAAATTCCAAGAGGGTGAAAACGCCCCTCAAATATTACAATATTTGTTATTTAATAAACGGTTAGTCTTTCGCGAAAATGCATAATTTATTTTGTTTTTTTACATATTCAGAATTTTTTTAATAAATCGTACAGGGTGTTTCAAAAAGTTGGGTAATTGATTAACCACGATTAATCAATTACCTAATTAAATAATTACTAATAGTCAAATTCCAACGATATGAAACTACCCCTCAAATATTACCAAGTAGTACATCTGTATCTTACTCATAAACGAAAAACTGCATAAAACACAAAAATGACACGCTGTATATCATAAAACGTAATAATATTCTAGTGACTTACGTGTTTACCTGTTTAACAAAAACCATATCAATTTTTTGAGCTGTTCTTGTTCGTTCCTATCATGCATTCCTTATATTCCAGGATGTTATGTTTACCGACCAGGTGTTTTTTAACATCGTGCTTCCTGTTGGCACTATACTGACAATCGAACTGACAATAGAACCGCTTCTGTTTGACACCGCAATCGTACCTCTGATGTTTATAAAGCGAATTTTTTCTTGCGTACCTGTTTCCACAAGTGTCACACGCAAACGGTCCTAGAATTTTTTAAATTTATTCAAGAATTTAAGATAATACAGCATAATAATGAAAAATAAATTAAATTTAAAAACCCGCTAATAGTCAAGAAACGACAGGTATAAAAGAAACGCTAAAAACAAAAAAAAGTTAAAGATGAAAAAAATAGTGTTAAAAATAATTTTGATATTTTTTTCTGTTTTTAGAGGTATTATACCTGTTTTTTTCATGTTTACTAGCGGTTTTTAGGTACTTCTTTTTTAATGTTTTACGTCAACGTCAACAATGATGGTGAATCGATCGTCCCCATAGACTAATGTCACGTACTAGAGATAGATTGGACACTGATATAAAACAAATGGGTCCGTCATTTAGAGCCACCTGGTGATCCGGAAGAAACTAATGGAGAGTTTTGGCATAACATAATTTTAGCGTTCCGTTACTTATTAACGCTAATTAAAACGGTAACGTTATTCAAGCGCAAAATTATTCCTTGTAAAATATAAAATAATAAATATACTTTTTTACTGCCATTTTATGTTTTATTAGATCATTAGAAGTGTAACATAATTACAACAAAATTAAAATTATAAATACATACATTTTAAACACCAACAATAGATCACATAGCGCCTATTTTTTTTTGATTCAACAACTAAATTATAATATAATAAAAATATTATAGACTACTAATTAACTGTTACTAAAAATACTATATATTGCCATGTACTTACTTATTTACGATTAAACTATTTTTTTATTTGGTTTATAAATTATTATTTCTAAAATGTCAAAATGACTTTAATAAAAAAGTTTAGTATCTAACACGAAAATGATGATCGACTGTAAGTATCAGAATGCACAAACTAATAAAAACACAAACTATAAACACAAATCACTGAACTTTCCGACAAATCAGGAATATCTGAATTAATAATGATTTAAAAATAACTTGACGGATCACCAACATTTTGTCAACTAGACAAAAACTAGACCATAGACAGTAGTTAACATAGAGACTGTCATGTTATCTTCATAATATAAATTAAAAACCTGTACTTTAATGTCTTTTGCGCCGTCTGGCGATGCGGAAGAAACTAAATTTGTAGTTCTATAAAATTACCATTGAGTGTCTAGGGCATGATCGTCCCCTTCTACAGATGGCGCTGACGTATGACAGTTTTGACACCTAACATATAAGAATGACGTTTGACATATGCCATGCAGTGTGCTTTCAAAGAAAGTGTGGCCTTCAGGTACAAAAATACGGGTACGTGAACCTCATTTCAAAATGCACTGTATACATCAAAAATAAAGAAAATAGGAGGTTAGTCGTGACTGACTAAGTTAAGAAAACTCTATTTAAAAAAAATTGTTTTTGTTTAAAGAAAAGTAATGTCGTTGGATATGTATTTTAATATTTTATAAAGGAAATGTCCTTGTATTCCAATGTCATATGATGCTAGTTTTAAAGCCTTTTTGTGCAGATGATGTTTTTTGCTAATTGACTCAGTCGTAAGTTGTTTTTTTTTTTTATACAATTTTAAAATGTTAATGCCTTTTTTATTTATACATTTTAGAAACTGTCCTGATGATGGGAATACAATTCTCGAAAGCTTGACAATTTTGAAAAAATAGTTTTATTAGCCTGTGTGGTGATTATTGACTGCGTCCTCAGTAAAATTGAGTTTTTTCACGTAAAAAATACCGTAATCTAACGGCATGATATTTCTACAATATTTGTATATGCCGGTGAAAAATTGGATGTATTTGCGGCATGTAGTGACAGCGGCATACTGTATTTTAAACATCAAATACCGCCGGTATGATAACATAACCTAATACCTTTGCTTTTTAATTACCTCGTTGTTCGGCGGTATTCAATGTTAATAAATATTTAAAAATTGTCTACCGGCGGTCTTTCTATCGTCAATCGTCTATACAGCCCGCGGTATTTAAGACACTTTGTTTAAAAAACCATGGGATTTTGCTACCATACATTTTGATACCCCACTACTTACTTTTTTAAACAGAAAACAACGAATATATGCCTAAATAATGTTTTATTTTGTACACCAAAAAAAATTACAATAATTAAACATAGGCACTTAAAAGTAAACCTCTCCATATCTACAGAAAACAATTAAATACAGCATTTTAAACTTACAATATATCGAAAACTTAACGTTAGTTACAAGCAAATTTAAACAATTTTACAAACATTTCAACATACAACTAACAGAACAGTATAAGAATTTTAAATTAAAAATAATAAGTTTTTATATACTCATTAAACAGAAAATGAGCAAACTTATACGTATTTTTTTTTCAAGAAAAATAACTATAAAGATCATAAACATAAAGACATTTATATTTATACAGGGTGTCCCAGAATTAAGTGCAGATATTTGAAATGGTGGTAGATCTGGTAAAAAACCCTCTTTTCCCTTTACCATTTTTGAAATAAAAAATTTTTGAAAAGAAAAAATAGAAAAACATACTTAAAAGAATGTTTTTTATTGAGACTACTTTGTAATATAGCAATGTAAAGTGTAGTTAAAAATAAAAAAGGTGGTATGCCTGAAAATAATTAAGGTGGTTTGTTTCTAGAATTGTTAGTAATAGACACTGATATGATTAGAATTAATACTCCTAATTTTTTGTGTACAAATTTAAAATTACAGTAAATACAAATAATATGTTAAATGTGGATAATGTAGGAGATGGCAACACTGTAAGGTTTAGATACACCTTGGAGAAATCTCAGGTGAATAAACAAGCAGCACTAAAAAGTTTTTCAACATTTTCCAGAAAATGTCAGGAAAAATATAAAATTTCCAACAATTTTTTTTTTCGCAAAAAAAACGTCATAGACGTGTTTCTGGGGCCCAGATATACCGCCAGTTAAAATATCCGCACTTGTTTCTCCCTGTATAGTTTTTATTATTAATCAACACCTTTAAAATAGGATAATGATAAAAAAAATAGACCATTATCTATTTTTACTTCTAGATAAATTATGTTTCAAAATTTTGTAAATTCGAATTCAAGGCCATTTTTTTCCTAAATACAAAAAATATATCTTTTCTTACAAGTATATGTATAAATTTGTTCCGCTTTTTATAATAAAATATGAGAATAATTTCCCAAATATATGCATAAATCTTTATATCATCTCATAGATAACGTATGTACCTTATAAATATATCCGTGTAAACAATTATATAAAACAATAAATAAACATTATGCAAACATTCTTTTGATCACATCAACTATTTCACTTTTCAGGTTCAGGTGATTTATTAAAAACGCCGTCATAGTAGGCCTAGAAGTCATTTTAGGGAGAATATTCACATGTTTGTATGCTGTAATTTTAAGATTGAACAAGGACACATAATATACACACACCGGAAAAGTCTAGGGATATTACAATTTTATCCAGCCATCAACAGTAATTTTATTATTTGCATTTCTGATATAATAAAATTAAAATAAACAAATAATTTACCGAACGTATTGGAAATAAAAATGCGAAATTTGCCGAATTTATTACCTTGATTTTTATTGAACTCAAAAAAATACACACATTTTTTTTTTATTCTAAACTGTGAATTAAAAAAAAAGATAAAACCAATTTTACTTAATAAAGGGTATGGCCTCCTCTACTGTTCATTACAGCCCTACATCGTCTCTCCATGCTCCTGATCCGGTTGTCGATCTCTTCTTGAGGTACAGCCTGCCACGCTGCATTCACGGCCCGAACCAGATCCCTACGAGTTTCACGAGGCATACCCATTCTCAAAATTCTTCTTTGTGGACCGCGTCCCATACGTGCTCGATGGGGTTGAGGTCAGGAGATTGTGCCGGCCAGGGTAAGATATTTAATTGATGAGCATTGATTAACTCACTTACCACTCTGGCTGTATGAGGCGGTGCATTGTCATGCATGAGAATGAAGTTTCTCCCAAAATCATTGGCATATGGTAACACGACAGGCTCAAAAATTAAATCACGATATGTGATTCCTGTTAGAAACCTTTCAAGAAAAACGAGATCGGTTTTTCGGCCTAACTGGACTCCTCCCCAGACCATAACTGTTCCACCTTGATAAGGATGCACTTCCTGAGCATGATCCAACCGAATAAGATTTTCCGGTTCTCTCCATACCCTAAGCCTTCTCGAATCCGGATGAATTCCAAAGCGTGACTCGTCCGTGAAGAGAACATTGTTCATTCGACCACTGAACATGATCTTGAGCCCACAAATATTGTACCTCTCGATTTCCTCTCGTTAAGGGTTGAGCCCTCCAGGGGCGGCTGCTTCTTAAGTTGACCTCTCTTAATCTATTGCGAACAATGTCAGGACTAACGGTTACATTATGTGTTTCCTGGAGAATTAAACTAAGCTCTGGTGCTGTAAGAGTCGGTCGGCGTCGAGCATTTAATTGTAAAAAATGATCTTCCTGAGGAGTAGTAATGCGATGTCGCCCTGTGTGCCTTTCAGCAACATCACCACTTTCACGGTAGCGTGCACTTAATCGCGATATTACACTTTGCGTTGAATTTAATGCTCTAGCTACGTCGATTTGGCGCATTCCAGCTTCGAGCATACCCATGGCCCTTAGCATTTCGTCTCTGTTAAGATGTCTACGCTCCAGAATGTCGTTTAATACTAAACAGAGTTATTTGAATGAATTCTGGCCAGTTATCAAAAAAACATAGCCATTACAAGTTAAATTCGAACAATTGATGCTAGGTGCTTTTTATACATTTGACAAAAAATGCACAAACACTTCTGCAAATATCCCAAATTTAGAAATAACTAGTGTGACTACTTCGTTTCAATCGAAGTAGAAAGAATCGGCCTACAAATATGTGGTTGTTTATTCAAAACATTTATTTTTAACTTTAATAAAATGATATCCCTAGATTTTTCCGGTGTGTGTAGATCAGCGGCCAAAATCACTGTCAAAACTGTCACCAATTTCTGCGCCTACTGCGACGTAATTTTCAGTCTATCACAAGAAATATATTTTTATTATTTTAAAATTTCTTTCTCTCAGAAAATAAGTGTTAGTAATAATAGCAATATAATAAAAACGATTTTTTTAGTTTTTGATTCAAATATGCAAAAAAATATATACAATATAATATTACACAATGCTTCAAGATCATCACAATTAAAATAAAGTGACCACAATACCAGAACATAAATTTTTTGCTTAATTTTAACTACAAAAAAAAATTGAATTGTCTTTTCTTATTATTGAAACTTTTAACAAGATTTTTTCTAAGATAAAATCACCAGTGATCGGTCAACGTCACTGTTATAGATGATTCCATAGCCTGCTCTGTAACATTTGTTTATGATCTTGCGCTACTATAAACAAATAAAGCAATAACAGGTTAAAATATTTTTTGTACTCAAAATAGAACTTCAGCTTTTGTTCTTAACACATTTCTTGCTTGTATAAAATACTAACAAGTTGAGAAAAAAGTAATTTAGCCAACCAAATTTACCCAAGAATGAAATTTTGTTTTCTTTTAATCGAAAAAGTATCTGATACAATAAAAAATTCAGTGATGCAGTATAAGACATAGCATAAAAATTATTTTCACTACAAAAATACAATATGATCGAAAAAAAAAAATGGCGTCATCAATGGCTCTTAAATGAAGATGATCGTCATTTCCAAGCCAACTAGACGCCGTTTTTTTTTTCGATCATACGGAACTAGTATCCCTAGTTTTTCATCTGTCACTGAACTGTCATTAATTTTTAATATATTCAGCCTATATTTGCAATTTGTGAACCATTCGACAATGCTGCGTCATTCTGTCCCTAATTTTAGCCTTGTAGCCGCAGTACACCACCGGACATTGTATTGTAGGCGGTTTGCCGCACTCATACACCAGATGGCGCTTCATCGTGTTGTACGTCTTGTATCTCCTCTTACATTTCTGGCACTCGTACTCGCTTTTGCCTATTTGAACGTAGCCGGTTACTGGGGGCGGTTTCCTTCCACAGTAATATTTCATATGCCTCTTTAAGGAGCCCAGTATTTTGAAGCCTTTGTTACATTTCTCGCATAAGTATGTCAAGTCCACACCTAAAACATAAAGATTGTTAATAAAAATGAAGTTTATTCAGATGATAGTTAGGTTAGGTGTAATGTGATTAAATTCAGTACAGTGCGTTAAATATTGTTATTATTGGTTTATAACAATCCTGATTTTCTTTGTTGTAAAACTTTATGTACCAGATGCCACTGAAAACAGAGATGGTTTGTATGACAGTCTATTATAACGCTTTATTAGAAGATTAGTTTAAATTAAAAAAACAATGTGTGTAGGTTGGCTTAAAACATACCTATATGCCTTTACTATAAAGCTAAGAGAAGTATACCAGATAATATAAGAGAAGTATTTTAAAAGGTTTTCATAAACATAAGAAATAGACTAATCATAATACAGTGTGGTCCGAACTGTATTCCGGAAATTTCGGCGGCATATTCTGCAGATAAAAATAAGGAAAAAAGTTCGTATAAATGTATGTCCTAAAATGCTTAATTTCGGAGATACAGGGTGCAGAAGTTTCATTTTTATTTCAATTTTTTCCAAATAATTTCTGAAGTAACGTCAATATTTGGATGTAAATTGGGGTCTGGGAGTTTTTTGACATGAGAAATTTGATTTTGATGTCAATATGACTCCTACTAGTAGAGGGTACCACCTACATGTGTTTTAACTGTTTTGAACAGTAATAACTTTTTGTCCGTACCTGCATAAAACTACCGAGTAAAAGAATATACATCTCTGTGACTTTTTACGTAAAAAATATCTCTTTGTAAAAATCGCTACGAGTAACCGTTCTTAAGATATTTAGAATGGAAATAGTCAATACCATGTCATTATTGACGAAAAATAAATAAATACAGGTTGAATAGATAGTTATTTAACTGAAATAATAAATTTGGGAAATCTTTACTTTTTTAAATTAATCATAAATTTTTCTGCAAAAAATGATGGTAAAACAGTTTCTGTTGAAGTTTTGGCACAAAAATATTTCAAATTTATGATTTCAGTCTAATAACTATTTAATCAGCATGTTTATTTTATGTCAATGTTGACAGGTATTGATAATTTCGATTCCAAATATCTCGAAAACCATTACTCGTAGCGATTTTTACCAAGAGACCTTTTTCACGTAAAAAACGTCGTAAATTTATATTTTTTTACTCAGTAGTTTTATACAGGTACGGACGAAAAGTTATTACTCTTCAAACCAGCTAAAAAATATGTAGGTGGCGCCCTCTACTATTAGGAGTCATATTGACATCAAAATCAAATTTCTCATGACAAAAAAATCCCAGACATCAATTTTCATCCAAATATTGACGTTACTTCAGAAACAATTTGGGAAAAATCGAAATAAAAATGAAACTTCTACACCCTGTATCTCCGAAATTAAGCATTTTAGGACATACATTTATACGAACTTTTTTACTTATTTTTATCTGCAGAATATGCTGCCGAAGTTTCCGGAATACAGTTCGGACCACCCTGTATATTGATATGTTTTGACCCAAGATATACAAGCAAAATGTAAACAAACTTTTATAAGCCACAATACTGATAAGATTTGAGAGTTATACAGGGTGAGTCTTAAGTAAACGCAAATATTTTTAGGGGTAGTATATTTCGACCCCAGAAACACGATGAGGTTTTTTTCGAGAATTTTTTTTTTGAAAGTTTGGAAGTTTTTGATTTTTTTTTTTTAGTTTTTAGTTAAAAAACCAACAAGACAAGACCCAGAGGTTCTCAAAATTTAAACAAAGAATTATTTTTTCAAAATTTTTAAAGTAAAATAACTCGGTTATTTTGGACTTACTTGAAAAAGGGCAAAGAGAAAATGTGTTTCTTTTATCGAGATATACCAGCTCTGAAAATATTTGCACTTATTTAAGACTCATCCTGTATTTTTGATCCCACGTTGGGCGCCAAATGTTTGTTTATATACAGTAAATGCGTCTATTTATGCCAAAAGCATTCAGAATATTTATGTAATTTCTGTGAGATGGCAAAATATCATAAGATATGTCATCACAGAACAACTGACTAGTGTCAGAAAGGTCTACAATAATAAAAAAAAAACTCTTTATTATTCAAAAAACGATTAAATGTACTTTCGCATATAATAAAACACCTTTTCAGTAATATACATATATTCATTCTAAACAAAAGAATAATAATATATAATTCTAATATGGCAGCGTAATAATTGTTTTTGTATAACATATAAAGTACACGTTAAATTTTGACAGAAAATAATAAAATAGTTGACTACTAAAATTAACATTACAGTAGCACAAAATAAGCTTACAGTATTGTAAAAAAACTATTGACTATTTATTTCTACTTCAAAGAACTCTTGAACACCCTGTATAAAAATAGCCGATTTGTATTTAATTTATAGATCACATCAAAATTAAGTCAAATTTTGTTGTAGAAAGTTAAAAATTATTATTAAATTTAAATTACTCTATTTTTTATCAATGTTCAGAATTTTCACGTATCAAAATTATTTTTATAATAATCGTTGTTAAATTATTATTTCTTTCAAAATACACTTTATATGTCTAAACAGATTAAAATAATTCTTAGGAATAACATGCAACCCCAATAAAATAACTATATAACTGGCACTTTATTTTCTACTTCAAATGCAAAATGACCCATAAAAAATCAGTGGTTATTTTCCACAGCATTCTTAATTTGAAGTATATGTAACAGATTCAGTAAGTACGCCACTGGAATATTAATTTTAAACGACATATTAAACATCGTTAGTGTCATTTTCAAGCGATTTTTTGTGATTTAAAAAGATTACTTTATATGAGCATAAAATGGCGTATCTAAAAAAGACTGTCATTAAATTAAGTACCCATTGGCATACCATTAATCTGATACATAGATATACACTAAAATAATATATTTTTTGGTTATTTGCAATTTTATTGTACATTAAATCACCCTGGCTGACTCGATTATATCATTAAATGACAAATAATATTAAAATATATAAACATATAATTCTTATTAACGAACAGATATATAATTATGATTACGTAGTAACAAATATAAAACGATTTTTTTATCGAAATGAGACAACGATACTCAAACAATCTATTTGTTTAGAAATAATTGAAACAATTATGTAAAAATCTATAATACATAAGTTTAATTTTGAGGATTTTAATAATATTATATATATATCTCATTTCTATAAACAATAATTTGATTAAAACATATAAAAATCAATATAAATGTGACACAAAAATGTATATAATATAAATATATTTTTATATGTTATTCTAACTTCTATATAATCGATCTTCAAATTGTAAAACAGATAATATATAATCTTGAGTAACGTGTTTATAGAAGTTTAAACTTAAATGTCCGCTAAATTACTAACGAAGTAACCCGAAGTTGGCCGAAGTAGTGTAGAGGGGGTTTTAGGTTTGTTCATTTTTTCAAAACTTTCTGAACTAGTGTGTGTACAGGGTGGGTCAAATTCGACGCTTTTAAATAGAAACACCCTTTTCTATAGGAGATAGACGAAAAGTAATATCGGTGTCTGGAGCCCAATTTTCATCAAAAACATGATGGTGAAATCCGCACGTCAATATCTGTTACCGTTTCGGAGTTACGGGGTGTTTTTCAAAAATGTGCATTTTTAACAAATCGCTGTAACTTTTTTGCTATGGAAAATTTTGTATTTTTATGCAGACATTTCCAAAGCACCTTTTTACGTAAAATTTAATGGTTTAAGTATAATTTTTTTAAAATTAATAATTTAAGAGTTATCAACAGAAAAATTGATTTTTTATTTGGGACACCCTATATATTTTTAATTAACTGAAGAGAATTTAAAATTACCTTTTCAAAAATATAATACACTTGATATTTTGTTATAATCCCCTACGAAATACAGAATTTTTAAAAGCTCGCCACTTTTAACTAGTAGGCTTTGGGCCCCTTATTGATGATATGCCTCTAATGGACCTCGAAAACATATTTTTCCAGCAAGACGACGCATTGCCTCCAAACGCTGAAGTTATGAGAAAATTTTTGCAGCCAATTTCAAGAATAATTGGATAGCTAACCAAGATCCCAGCCGTTAGCCGTCGAGGCCGCCTGACTTAGTGCCAATGGATCAAATCCTGTGGATATATTTGCGGAAGAATAAAGGTTCCTTATTCTTCCGTATAATCTAGACAAGAATTAGGAATACATAGCAGTTACGAGAGGTTTTGCCATTTTTCCAATAGCTAAATACTCTTTTGATGAAAAATAATAACGACACGCAAAGACGATGACGAAGGACGGTATATACAATCAGTTGGCAGTTTTCAGAATTTTGCATAATTTGCTTTTTAAGCGCATATCGTATAACAAATTAGCGATCGTTATTAACATGCATTTGTCATTTTTTATGGACAAATTTTAGGATATATGGATTCTTTACAGGAGTTCCTGAAAAACATGGAAATTAGAGCATAGAATAAGAAAGAAATTCCAAAAATTTTTTAGAATTTCAAGTCGTCGTATTAAAAAATTCAAAATGTGACCAAAGCTTATAATTTTAATAATTTATTTGCTTTACTTTGATTAATCGTGATGTAACATTTTTTTTGTAATTTGTAGAGTGATGAACCACCCCAAAGAATACCAAGGAGTGAAGAAGCAGAAATAACTACTATCGAGGAAAATATCACTTTACTTACTACAGACCAGGAAAACCTAAATTTATCAGAAAATATTATACCTTGTAATATGCCTGTATATGATGTATAGACTTCTCGATCAAAATAAATCTTAGTAGAGTCAAGAGTATTCGCTATTTGTTTAAGAAAGGTGTCTCTTAATCAAGAAATGTCCCTTTGAATTAATTTTTGCATGAATCAAAGAGACCATTGTTCTTGTAGCAAGAACTTCTTTGCATATGCATTTTGGGTCAAGAGTGAAATACTTTGGACAGATAGATTCTTCTATTCTCTAAAGTAATTTTTTAAAGCTTATGAAAAGATAGTTAATGCTTTGGGTAAAGAAACGTCGTTCTTGGCCCTATTGAAAAGTGCCAATCTTTTGGGTCAAAATCATATTCATTTCGACTGAGAAATCCTTTTTTTCAGTACAGTAACATTACATAAATCATAAACATTATTACATAGGTCTGTTGACTGGGACCAAAAGCAAAAGCATGGTTTTAATGTAAACATTACGAAAAAATGATAGTACCTTCTTCAAAAGCGAATATCCCAAAAAAAAATAAAGCTATTGAGGTGAACCAAAAGATAAACTATCGAAAAAAATGCACCTGATGATAAAATAAAGAATTCAAATTCCTATCCTCTTTTCTATGCAAAAAATAATACACTACTTCAGAAAGTCTTGAAATCATGACCAAACCTCATTATTTTGATCGTTAAAACAGCTGCTCTATACGTAGGCCCAATCACTTCATTCCTTTTCCTGTTTTTCTTTTTTGTAACCCATCCTGTCAAAGATATTGTCGAACTTAAACACAGCAGTGAAGTGTAAAGAATCCACGTGCTGCTTCAAGGTGACTTTTTGCGTGTAGGCTTTTCCGCAAATTTCACAAACAAATCTAGGCACCCCATCGCATTCGTACTTGGAATGTCTGTACAGGTTCGGCTTGTGCTTGTAGGACTTGTCGCACTTCATGCACTTGAATTTCTTGATGATGGACCCTAAAACCAGTGTTTTTTTTCATAAATTTATTTCTAGATGTATAAAAATATTAGTATTAGAATTGTTTTACCCAAAAAAAGCCCACTAAATGTGTTTTCTGGTGGTTTTTGACGTACACAATGCATGACATAAAACATTCAATTGCCAGGACGAAATACACAAGTAAAAACCTTAGTAAAATCAACCAAAAAACACCCGTTTTTATTAATTTCTTTCTGTGTTTTCAACTATAAAATTTTAAAATTCCAAACCATGCATAAAACCCTGAGAGTTTTGAAAAATGTTGATGTTAAAAAATGAATAGAAAATTCCAGAATAACCCACCATATATCAAAAGACCAAATTTTCAAAGACAAAATTTCTGTTTAATAAATGAGCTTAACTACAGAGTGTTCAGTTTCCCAGTGCTGGCCCAAAGTAGGGTGAATTAAGGTATGGGCAAGACTCGATTTCCCAGTGCTAGCCAAGTCTAAATCTCCAAAAAATGGTCCAGACTTGGTTGACCAACTCTGGTTCAAAGCTGTGTCGGCGTAGCATGGCCAGAGCTCAGATTCCCAGTGTGGGGCCAAAGCTGGATGAATTAAGAGATGGGCAAGACTCGATTTTCCAGTATTGGACCAAGTCTAAATCACCAAAAAATGGTCCAGGCTTGGTTAACCAATTCTGGTTCAAAGTTGGATCGCCGTAGCATGACCGGAGCTGAGATTCCCAGTGTTGGACCAAAGTTGGGTGAATTAAGAGATGGCTAAGACTTGATTTCCCAGAAGGATCCGGAGTAACGTTATGAATCCATTAGTAACGTTATGAATAGGTGCTTAGTCCGGGGCCAATATCCGAGACTGTGGAAGATTGGAAATCTGGTTTTGATCGAAAAGTCCAAAATGGAGAGTTCATCTGCGATAAACTACAGACCAATATGCCTACTTAATGCCAGCGGAAAACTCTTCGAGTCCTTAATAAAAGCTAGACTGGAGACTGAACTGGAGGAAAACGATAGACTGTTTGATAGGCAATTTGGATTCAGAAAGGGCAAATCCACAATAAACGCTCTTAACATAATTGTGGACAAGGTCGACCTGATAAGGCAACGCAGCTGGAAGAGTAGGGGATACGTAGCCCTTCTTACGTTGGATGTGAAAAACGCCTTTAACTCTGCTCCCTGGCGGGGTATTATAGACCAATTGAAGTCAATGGGCATCAGCAGGTACCTAATTAGGGTAATCCAGTCCTACTTATCATGCAGGAAAATAGAGGCGGAGGACGGCCAAATTTATAAAATGAGTTGCGGGGTTCCTCAGGGATCAGTACTTGGCCCGACGCTGTGGAACGTCTTTTATGACCAGGTGCTGAGGTTGGACATAGGAACTGGGTGCGAGATTCTTGATTACGCAGATGATCCGGCAGTCCTGATCACAGCCTCAACGCCTAATAAGTTGAAAATAAGAGTGGAGACTGCGGCGCTGATAATCGGCAACAGGCTGGATAGCATAGGTATCAGCTTAGCAAAACAGAAGACGGAGTTGTTTGCTTTGGACAGCGGAAGAAGCTATTGTACACCAGGTAGAGGAAAGATGCGACACCTACAGGCTGGGCAAGGAACATAGGTTGCAAGTAAGAGAAAACATCTTGATGAAATGGCAGGAGGATTGGCAGAGATATGATGGCTGGGCAAAGCAATTTATTGCAAATGTGGCGGTGTGGCATAAGAATGGATGGGTGGAGGTAGACCACTTTCTTACTCAAGCTATCAAACAGGTCATGGGTGTTTTGGCACATACCTGAAAAGGATGGGCAAAAGAGATAGCGATCGCTGTGTGTACTGCCAGGAGCAGGATACTCCTGCGCACACTCTATTCGAGTGTGAAAGATGGAGGGAATTTAAGGACGTGGCAGAGGCAAGGTGCGGCACCAAGGTCACGCTGGATAACGTCGGGGCACTTATGGGTGAAGACCAAGAGAAGAGCATAGCGGTTGCGGAAATGCTGAGGGTTATTATGAAAACCAAATTTCAGGAAGAGTTGGCGACGATTAATACATAGGATGCACACATAAGACAACCCTCTGTCTTGAAGTAATGCCCCGGGCGATTCCGAGACGGAGACTGAGGTTTGACAAAGATGGGTTTTTATTGGGTAGGCCCTCTAGTAGGTAGAGTAGAGAGGGAGATCCCCGCACTCCGGCCCTATAGGCGTTTCCCACCTATAAAAAAAGACTTGATTTCCCAGCCGTGACCCAAGATAGGGTAAACATAGTATTATTGGCCAAGCCTGAATTACCCAGCTTTGGACCAATCTTGGTGCGCCGAAGTCTGGTTTCCCGCGACTGGGCCACGCTTTGCCCCGTTGTCGAACTACGGGGACTCCTGTATAGGCTTGATGAGATACACGCAATTCTATTAATCACAGTTAATAAAATTAAAACAAAAATAAAATTAATATATTATATATTATTATTATTATTAGTCCAATAATAACCCATATATGTACGTGAATATGGCGACACTTTTTTGGCATTAAAATATATAGCACTTACACTAACTTTTACCCTCAAAATTTCATTCGAATCACTAAAAGTACTTGGAAGAAAATTATAATAAATTTAAAAAATATTAAGACTGTTAACACCCTGTAGCTACATAACAAAGCAGAATCGGACCTATGTTAATATGAAAAACAGATATGAAAAATAAATCTTATTTTAACGCAAAGAATCTCCCCACGAGAGATGGAACATATTTTTTGAAACACCCTATATAACCCTATATAGATAAATGGAGGTGGTCAGAATTAAAATGGATCAAGTCCAATTTCCTGCTATTTTAAGATAATCGTCTTTCTATGTTTATAAAGTCTTCTGGTATATGGGAGACTATTACATCAAAACACTTATGGGTAATTTTTGAAATGGTAAATCTATTTGTCAAGTATGCTATGTGGCGTTCTTTTTTTACAAGGGACAAAAAATGTAGTAAATACTAGGAGCAGGATTGCCACCCCTCCCGATTTTGTAGGGACAGTCCCGATTTTGATCGAAAATTCCGGCGGCCCCACGCAAAGCCCTATGACCCGAATTTTATTTGTTTAATAGCCATGTTTTTATTAAATAATAAAATTGTAAAATTTATTATTAAAAATACATGTTTATTAATTTCTTGAATTTTAAAACAGTTCTTTTCCACGAATTAATTAAAATCTTAGACATTTTAGAATTAAAAGAAGTATACCGGGTGTTGCGTCGTCGAGCGGGACATGGGAAATCACATGTAAATTTTAATGGGGTCAATTATTGGCTTCCCTAATTATTTTAGAGAATAATTATTCTATTTAGGTTTATTGAAGAGCACTAAAACCCACATTCAAAAGAATAACTTTAGATATTTTTGATTAGCTCGTTTACGAGTTATCGCCGATTTCTTTTTAAATATTTCTCCTTTCTTATGGCCCTGTATTTACTTATGAGCACCAGTCAAGGTAAAGATAACTGTCAAATGAAGTTGTCATTTCAGAAATTTACCTATTTAGTGCTTTATTATTATTGAAAACTCATTCCTACATCGGAAATCTTAAAGATGTATTTATAAATACAAATTAATATGAATTAAAGTAAAATAAAGTAATCAATTACAAGGTTAATTATAGTATTATTACAATATTCAATAACTTATTTTTAACTATTAAATAAATTTAGGTACTATTAAATTGTTAGAACTTTAGGATTTAAGAAGATGTTCAAATCATCCTCCATCGACTGCTAGACAATAACCCAGACGATCATAAAATTCTCTTCTTACATTGGCTAGTTGGTAAACTGAAATTCTATTGCATTCGGCAGAAATAGCATTTTTTAACTCTTCTAGATTTGGGTATTTTTTATCCTTGTATGTATTATTATTATTATTAAAAACTCATACCTGCATCGAAAATATTAGTCATGAATTACACTACCGAAGAAAAAGTATTGATGATTAAATGATATTATCAAGGAAATAGTTATCAAAAGGTGTCGGACATGTTTGCTGCTCTGTATCCGAATAGACCGATACCTGGAAAATCTACAATCGCAAGGAATATCCAGCGATTTGAGACTAAAGGTACCCTAATAAATAATTGCAGATGTGAAGCAAGGCAGGAACAACGAGAAGATGCAAGAAATGATACCGACTTGGAAGTTTTATTGTGCGTGGAAGAGAACGATGGAAAGATCAGCACAAGGAAACTTGAGGATGAAATAAGAATAGATCAAACTACAGCGTTTCGAATTTTGAAACGACATTTTAGGTTTTGTTGTAGTTGTTTTAGATTTAATTGATTGTTTACTAATTTTGTTTTCAACTTTTAATTTTTTATTTTTACATAATTATTTATAAATTTCGAATAGTTTTTTTTAAGTTAACGCAAAAAGGCATAAAAGTAGTACATCCTTTATTTTGTCCACGATGAAAAACTTGTTCAAAATTATTTGTTTTGTACAGTTTAAAATGTTTATTATGTTTTTTTTTAAATATTTAGAAGGTTATATTGTGTTGTTATTTTCTATAATTTTTAATAAATATACTAAAGAGAAGTAAATTGTAATTTTGAGATATGTGGATTAGCTTGAATATTGAGGTGATCCAATATTCTTAAAAGTTTTATGTGGTCTAACATCCACCAACGCTCTTCCTCACCACACTCACCTTGTAAAATAGAGTAAGTTTTACTGGCAACCTTTAGTAAATGTTACTTTCACTAGTGAATGTTAGAAATTACTAGTAAAAGTCGACAAATTTCTCTAAAATACGACATTCCCTGGCCCAATGCGTAATTGTTAGCATTTCCTAGTGAATGTTAACAATCACTGAATTTCCGACTTTCACTGTAACACAAAAAAAGGTAAACTAAAGAAAATAAAACAAGATTTGGATACAAAGTAAATATAATAATCATGTGTAAATTTTGTGTACAAATGTCAAGTGTTTCTTCAAGTTGCCTTTCTGGTAAGTAGACTTGCCACAAATCTTGCAGGTAAACTGCTTGGCCTTGCCACATTCGTAACGTTGGTGCAACCTTACTCCAGGTTTGGTGCGATATTCTTTGTTGCATTTTCGGCATTCGTATCGCTCTTCGGCGTTAAGAAAGTAGTCGTA